TGTTTGTTCCCCCTCTCGTATACAACTACTCCAAACCAAATTAAACCTACATTTGAAGAGACATTTATTGTGAAATTGAGCATCTGGTGCAGTAAAATTGGTACCGTTAATGTTATTAGACTTGGAGCATATATGTGTAATGCTATCTATGTCTAAGACTTATAATTGTAGATTTGTCTAGACATTAAGTGTGCAATTGCTGGTGTCTCATGTTAATTTGGTAATTTCGTTCATTCCTTCTACATTTTGTTTGATATATACATGTACATATATACTAAATAAAGCTGTCATAGGCCGAATATTACATGAGATGTATATTAAGATTCAATAGCAATGTAAATGCATACAAAATGTAACGGGTCGTAACTTATTTATGGCTCTTTATCTGACACGAAAATTGACATTCACTCAAAATGGGTACACATGATCTAATACACCAGTCCCGACAGGAAATAAATATGAATTTATACTATGTATTCCATGCCGGGCCAAGCAAAAATTCACACAGCAAAGTTAATCATGGTTTATCTATTTGTTATTTCGGCTTTGAACTAGCTCTTATTTAATGTGATTACTCTTAGATCGGTTATTTGTGTATTTTTGGTCAGTTGTTTCTTCTGCGTTCAGCCGTTTTACTGTGTGGCGAGTCAAGGCCATCATTGGTTTTAATTGTGTTCTTTTATTTTGTCAGTTACCTGCACACCACTGTTACATGTTATGAGAAGGGTATAGAGCGCTCACAAACATACTTAACCCAACCACTTTCGCCATATGTGACAGTCCCAAGTCAGGAATATGTGATTCAGTGGTTGTTGTTGGTTGCTGTCTGTCATATTAGTATATTGTTTTATCATACACTAGACCATTGGTCTTCTCCTTTTAATTACTTCAACATTTCCAATGCCAGGACGTATTATATAGCGTACACTATGGTATTGGTTTTACTCATTTTTGAAGGTATTACGGTAATCTTTAGTTGTTTACTTCCTCGTCCTTCTGTCATTGGTGAATAATTGTATCATTTTCAATCATTCCAAAGCTTTTAATTTTATTGGTATTGTGAATAAGCGTCGCCTCTGATTTCATTTTTTTTTTTAAATTATACAAAGGTTGAACACATCGGAGTAAATATATGTCAACGAAAATATAAAAGTAAGGAAAACGCAAGATTAATGTACATGTAAAACCATCGACTGTATTTTTTAAGTCGCTGCTCAATTCCAATTAATCCACACGACTGAAATTAATCACGTGATCTTTATTTCAAAGTATGTCATTAAGTCGACTTGAAGTGTTTCTGAAGCTTTCATCAGGTACACATGTTCTTTGATAAACATGAATTAGAGAAGCCAAATAAAAAAATCTCATCAGTTTGGGATTTTCAAACCTTTTATAGGACATTAACAATCTTTTTAATTTTTCAAAGATTGAAGTTCAAACATTTAGTAATATTCATGACAAAGATACATATAATTATTATTAATAACACAAATAAACTTATAATGATAGTATATGAAACCCCTACGTATTCCTTTTGGCATGTCATGGTCAGATGTGATAAAAATAGACACATTGATTAACGTTATCTCCATATCACTTCAATAATTATTCATTTATGCCGTGCTGATGGACTATTAGTCCCCGAGGGTATCAACAGTACATGGATAGTTGTCAGTATAAGCAGTCACTGCTTCGTTACTGACAAGATGTATGATATACATTTCTTAAAAATTCAGTTCCGTTGATTAGTTCTAGATGAATGTTTCAAACAAACTGAAAGTTCAATTAAATTCCTCCCACAAAATTGACCTTATATGGTTTTGGTTATTCGTTTTAGGTCTCTATTGAGCAAATTGCTTCTCCTGTATAAATACAGTCCTGGCGTTACATTTTGTGGTGTAGAGCGTTTCAGATGGAGGTAAATCTCCAAAGCACAAATTTATAAAGTATTGATTTCATTTTAAAGGGTCAATTATTGATAATTATTGAAGTAGTCTTTGCTGAAACTAAACAAATTTCTAGAATTTCACATTGAAACGCCTATTTTAATTTTTTTTTCTTTCAAATATGCGTTTTATGTGTCCGTCCGAAGTGAGAATCTTGTATTTCAGTGGTTGTCGTTAGTCGCAGTATTCATATTTGTTTTTCGTTTTAATTGTTTTTTTTTCATTTAAGGACCTTTTACATGTTTTATTGCTGACTTTACGGTATGGGTTTTGCTCATTGTCCAAGGCCCTACTTATAGTTGCTAATATATACGTCATAGGTATCTAGTGGATAATTGTCTCATTGGCAACCACACCACATCTTCTTGAACTTATGTTTTATATAATCATCCTTCTCTTTTTGTCTTTTTATGGACATATGTCTCATTGACAATCATAACACATCTCCTTATCTTTAAATATAAAGCTCTCTGCATGTTAAAGACGAAAGATTCCTGATAACACATTCATTTAAGTGTCCTTTTCTATGCTTTTTCGAAAGTGTGTCATATCAATCAATATGCAATATGTATATGTCTAAAGATAAATACAGATAATACTAATTCAACATTTTATTTGAATTACATACTGTGAAGTTATGATTTTTGTTTTGAGCATAACTCCTCGATTGAAGAATATTTGCGTTCGTTTCATTGATTTTAGTGTTGTAGAGAAATTGATTTCATTCGTTCATAATTTTGATGATTGTTTACAGAGAATAATGAAATTATCAATGTTCATGTCAAACGCCATTTTTAGTATCTGTTTGATATTATTCGGACTCATTTGTTACCACTGGAGTTGCCTATCGAATCGTTTTTACATTACCGAAATTGGCAAGAATCGACTTTTTAAAAATCATTAGTTCAATCAAAACGGTATATTGTAAATTATTTTTGACAACAAATTAAGACTCACTTTACGGGACAGCTTGTTCTGGGAAATTAATTAAAGAAACATATGATTTTACTTCATATGTCACTCTGTGTGTACTTTATTTATCAGAATATGTCAAGTTGACTAAATTTATTGTGTATATATCAAGTAATATTTTGAGTATTTTGTTCAGTCATATTGGATATTTGGCGTATCTTGGAAAGTGATAAATTTTAAATTCCTCCAGACTTGAAACTTGTTTCGTTGCTTAACGTCCAATGGCAAGTATTTCCTATATATTAAGAACGATAACAAATTAATAATAAAGATATTAAGCAAATATTCGAATTGGGTCGATCAAGAATTGCCGGAAAACGGGAAAGGCCACCCACGGACCTTTCAAAGAGAAGTGGTTAGGGTTCAAACACGATGCATCTGAATTTATGTTCCCATGGCAGCCGGAAGAGTCTGTGTATGTATACATCCCGTAGTCAAAGGACGCCACTGTTTGTCGTTACACTCCCATTTCTCGTAATGTAGGAATGATGTGGCGTGTACGTCAATGAGACCGCAACCAAACAACAAAATTAATCAAAAGACAACTAAAGTTCAACACACTGTCTTTAATAAAAATCTATATAAGCTCTATTGATGAAAGCATCTACATGATTATTTATTTTGTCGAATATGGACTTCTGTTTCAATAAGCGTTGGTATGCAACTTTCTATATTATCATAGCTGCTTTTTCTGGTGTCTTGAATTGCTGTATTATGTTGTTTGGTTTCTATCTGTTTTATTGATGTATTCCTTATGCCTCCCTTTATTATTTTCTTTGGGCGCATCTGCCTTGCAGACTCTTTACCATCTTGTTGTTTTAATGGATATCCTTTTCTAGCTACACATCATATCAATCGCCGATTTACAATAATCACCAAGTAGTTCAGTATTTATTACTATCGGACCGTTTAATGGCTAGAATAAGCAAGTATCGATTTTCGAAAATCCCTTTGCTTATCAGAAATATCAGAACAATTGATTTTACCAATTCATGATTTTTGTACATTGTTACAGAAATAATTGGATCCACAAAGGCTATGTCAGAAGCTATTTCCATATTCATATTATCCAGGATGTACCAGAAAAATATTCTAGTTTTGATGGTTTTACTCCCACGAATTCCAACGGAGCGAAATTGGGCGCTTCGACATGGTAATCCACCATACGAATCTACATTCGGTTTCAAAAACAAACAATGCGGAAGCCAAATACGAAAACGACAAAAAAAAAAAAGAAAAGAAAAACCGTCCACAAAACACGACACATATTAAGCAATCCAATCAAAACCAAGGATGAACTAAGGTCCTCCGAATGAGTAGCAGTTCCTACCCGACTAGTTTCACCCGTCGAGTTGCTTATTGCATATGCACAGATTGGATATTGTCGTTTTCGGGGATGTCACAATCGAGAACAATAGGACAGGATTGTGGCTACGACAAGTAGAACATATCCTGGGTCAATTGATACAAAGATATTCTATAACGGTCAATCAAATCATGATGGCGTCGTAAATCTTTCGAAGGAATAACTCTGTTCAATCAGGATCCTTAGTTTAATACTTTCTTGTCAGCAGCACCGACTATAAAGGAAATCATGATAGAAAACACAAGCATAAAATTGCACAAATACAAATATACAAAATTATATACTTACAAAAAAAAAAAAAAAAAAAAAATCGTAATTTCAGGTGCTTCGGAACAATTTCATGCGTGTTGATTATATAGTCCTGAATATGACAGATTGTTTTCTTTATATTTTAACTTGGCTTTTCCCTAGCACTAATAATGAAATGATTTCAAAGAATTCAAGTCGATGTTATGGGTATTTGCAACAATAAAGTTACCATTTATTGTCAATCAAAATTATTTCAAGTTTATTTAAGTATCTCTATCTTTACTATGTGAAACAATCGACTCTGGCCAATGGCATGTACTTCCGAAATCACTCTCTAAATGCGGAAAAGTGTACACTATTACAGGAAATTCAACAAGTACGTTTAAAGTTAACAGATGATCAATTGATTCATAATACTTAATACACCCTTTAATAATAAATCACCGGAATTAAAAAAAAAACAAAGTTATTGACAGTTTTCCCTCGTTTTCATTTCTTGTTTCCTAATTTATACAGGAGTTTATTTGATTTGACAGAATACAGAAGAGATAAACAGACGTTGTTCCGATATTTACTATAATTGGAATACGGTTTAACGGATCAGCATTGACGTTTTGTGCTATTGATGGATTAATCAGAATATAAGTCACATCACTGGAAATAAACGTAAGTAATCAACAAGTTAATAGCTGCTTTTTCTTTTTATTTACATTTGAACATTTGAATATTATTTATGCTATATGTGTTAATTCTTTGCTTTGCTTTGAATTGGAAATGCGAACATGGTTAACAAAAGGTATTTATAATGAATAATTCAGGACTTACTCTGGAAGATGTGTTGAAGCTAAGAACATTTTATGGTAAATATTTGAAGTATAAGGACATGTCTTAAGGATGTTCGCTACTCTGTTTCAAAATAACAAGCTTTTTAAAAGACTGTTATAAATTGATAGTATACAAATAAAGGAACTGAAAAAGCAGAAAAAAATGAAGGGTCCGTGTGCTTGTTTTCGAGATATAAGCCATTGAAAATTTGGCGGGAAATAATTCTCTCTAGACTTTTCATATATATTTAACAATGGCACCCTTTTTCTTTAAACAAATATGAAAAAATAATAAGGATTTTATAGCATTTTCAAATATAGCTTTTTAAACTATATGTAATAAAATTATGAAAAGAAAAGTAGGGGTTAGCGGGGAAATTTTTTTAATGGCAGTACATGGATAAAAACAGAGGATTCCGAATATCTGGCAAAAATTCAGAAACAAGAGGAGCGAACATCCTTAACGACGAGTAAGAGTTTGACATATTTCTGTTATTGCTGAATAAATAAAAGCAACAGTAGTATACCGGTGTTTAAAAGTCATAAATCGATTGAGAAAAAACAAATCCGGGTTACAAACCAAAACCGAGGGAAACACATCAACTATAAGAGGAAAACAAATGAACAACAGGAACACCGAATTGCAACACGCATAGAAACGAACTATTTGATAATAACTGCCATATTCCTGACTTTTAAGTACAGGACATTTTAAGAAAAAATAGTGGGTTGAACCTGGTTTCATGGCATTCCAAACCTCCCACTTTATGACAATGTTAAAAAATATCGCTAAAACACTACGTGACAGGAATACAGCACAAACACACGCAAGAACATTCATAACAGAGAAACGCACAAACAAATAATATAAAAGTCGACACAACATGCATACCACAGAACAACAACGGACATATTCCAGCAAATAAAAACACCATAGGATATCAAAAACAATGACGCGCTTACGTAACTAACATGCAATCTCGAACATTATACAATTATTTTCACAATGAGACATGTCTATTTTGTTTCTACTTTTCTGGCTGGCGAAAATAAGTTGTTTTACTGTAAACAGATGAAATTTGATATTAAAATCATGCTGTTTGTAAATAGATTAACAGTATGGATATGGATGCAATTAAAAGCAAACATTAATAGCATGACATGACATACTAACGCGCGAAATACAAAGGGCCTGTCAACACAATACTGCATTAGTAATACTATTCACGTGGACATGTCAGGTACTAGTATCGAAGCAAATCGGATAATATTCAAGTTTCAATTATTATTAAATATCGCACAGACACAAATGTGTAATATTCTGTTGTTGAATATTTCAATAGCACTATGTAAAGACAGAACAACCCAGGAAAGAAAACGTTTCACTTGTTTCATCTCATTTGAATAAAAATAAATACAATGGGTTGGCTTACTCTTTATCACACTCTCCTCTTAACTATTAGAAAGATTGTGGAGTTATATCTTATATATTTCCTATGCACCTCTTCTTCATTTATACGTCAATGTATCTCGAATGGTGGAGGGGGATTCAATTATATACCTTAAAAATATTGATATGCTTATTATAATTATGTTTTGTTATTGCTAGTAACTGTTTTTTCGTTTCATTTTTTTGGGGGGAGGTGGGGGGGGGGGGGGGGTTAAAATGCTGTTCCTGTAGCGATGGTGTCAAATGGCTAAGATTTGTTTTACTGCTGGGTATCCCGTCTAGTTTTTTTGGGGACTGATTCTTGGCAGGGTCAGTTGTTGTTTAAACTGTTTTATTTATGTGATCTTAATAAGGACCTATCAGAAACATTCCTTAAAAGTAAAATTTGATAATGCAATATGACGTATGCGTACTCGATACGTTAATTTGCAAGGATGTCAAAGTAAACCGTTCAATTGTAGATGACATGTGATCTTAATAAGGACTAATCAGAAACATTCCTTGAAAGCAGAATTTAATAATGCAATATGACGTATGAATTTGTTTGTATCATAGTTTAAATGATCAATATATCATTTTCATGCTGGACTTTTTTTTAAATAATATATTGCGCCTTATCATATAATATTTAGTTTCGTACACTTTGTTTTCTTGTGTGACTTTGCTATACTTGTTCATTTGACGTCATTGCTATTTTATTTATTGGTGCTAATCGTCTAAAACTACCCTCGGGCAAATTTCCTGGTGTGTTAAAGAGTCACTTTGCGTCTAGACAAATGAAAGCTAAGATCATTATCAGTGACAATGTTTGAATTAATGATAGTCCAAACTGTGAATATATAAAGTAGTTAGTATAAAAAAAACCTCTGTATGTAGGAAAACTATCACGTATAAAATTTGACTAGACATAATTGGCTATTCTATTAACATTTTTCTTTCAAGGGACACGTATTAAGTTAATTAGTTTCTGTTCCAATAAAGTATAGGCGTATCATTGACATTTTGTACTGTTTAATTGAAAATCATGTTATTTAAAACATTCTTTTTGTAATTCTTTAAATATAGGAGTAACTACACATTTAAACCTCTTTCGTTGTTTGCATTTGAGTGCTTCAAAACATTAATTTAAAATGGGTGATTTGAAAAACACCAACTTCATATGACTCAATTCGCTTGGTTGTATGCCATACACATGTAGTGATGACTCATTTTCCACAACCCTTAACAATTCGCACGAGATCAATTGCAATTTCATGTTTGTATCTAACCGTCTTTTTCTCTGATAGAGAATGATTTGTGTATTTATAAATCCCGTACAGGCGTACGGAAACCCATATTCAATGACTTGAGTTATTCTAATATTTGGCCTATCATTTTTTTTTTAATGTCATGAATCCGTATTTTACTCCTTCCTTTAAGCTGAACGTGAAGATGTGTTATTTTATAATTAATTTTTGAGCTTTTGTACCAAACGAATGTAGAGGATATTAGCTTTTCATTAATGTTCACAGCATCTTCTTTTTATTTAATTTAAAATCAAGAAAATTGATATAACCAACTGTTGTATTCGTTGTCGGTTTTTCACAATTTGCATAAATTGATTTTAAATACAAGTTCATAGTCGGTATCTGGAACACCATGAACGGCATAAAACATCAAGAGCAAACACAAAGCAGGACCAATCACAAGTTCATGGGTCAAATTTTTGTATACAGCAGTAGTAGGCTTTTTTGACAACTTTTGTTTTATAACTTTAAGTATCTCATGAAAAGTTGATAATCATAGACATGTTCATTAAAAATGTTACACATATCAGTAAGTAAAAACGCTATGTTCAATTTTTATTGTTGTTGTCAGTTTTATATACGTTATGTGCTGTGAAACAAGAAATGTTATTATGGTGGGAAAATGGAATCTCTAAATTGGTTTTGTATGTCTGTTTAAAATGAGAGGTATTGACATTTGTCAATCGCCTTCATTTGACTAAATTAATTGTATAATCAATCTAATAAAGAAACATAAAGTAGGCATACGCACTTTAATAAAAATAAGTAGTCAGCCTCAGTTAGATGTGCATATATGGAAACACAAATACTTGAATTTTTATTTATGATTACTTACACATCATCGAAAGTTTACATCTGCAAACTACTCAAAAACCTGGTACAGATTTGTCTCTACTGATATGTAACCTTTCTAACCTATTCAGACTGAATATTTTTAACATAACCAACAAGACATTTAGTCATCGATGGTGAAATTGCCTCTATGAGGAGCTCTAGGTTTCAATATATCTTCCCGTTGATCGTTTGGGTCATGTTATTTAAGATTATGCTGACTGGCTGTCTAACGTCTAGTAGCAAATATTCTATACATTTTCAAGAACATTTACTCAAAAAGAGAATGATGTTTATATATATAAAATACTTTAACTTTGTTTTAAGGTTGACATCGAATAATTTTACCCTCAAGCCCTCTCATAGTTGTACTGAATTCTTAAAATGAAATATAAGTTCATAATTTTTTCGCGTCGGAAACGATTTTCTGGATTTATATTCACAAAAAAGGCTCTTACCTAAATATTTTAAAGTCAGTGATGTACATAAACGTAGAAATGTTAGGAGCTTAATGACAAAAGTGACCGAAAAAATGGCCAAATTCATCTAAGTTCAACTTTAACCGAGGGAGTAAGAACCTTGGGTTCTTAGCAATTTCTTTATTTATCAACGGTTACGGGGAATTTTAGAAATTAATTGATATAAATCATGTCAGTCCCGAAGCACTGACTAAAACTAAAACTAATGTTGCTGTCAATTTTTTTTCCATGATATTATCGTTTTTTATGCATTTGAATTCATTTTGTAGTTATTTATCATATTACAAAGTATGTAATAATCATTTACATAAAGCATTTACTTTGGAAGAAACTCTATAACTCAATCTTAAATGATGTTAAAGCTAATTGGAAAAAAGAGATATTTTGTGACGTAAATGCTGACTACAATGAATATAATAAGAGGGATATTCGGTGAGTTTAATCATGAAATTATATGACATGACTTATCAGTTGATGAATGATACGATACAGGCATATAAGAAATAGGAATTCGACAATATTTAATAAATCAGTCGAACAGTAGTGATTGCAGTATTTTTTATCCCCAAGGAAAAATAATTTGGCTGCCTCATTTTGCCATCAAAGAATCTGGAACAAATTTATTTGTTTGAAAGACGAGCTTGTGTTGTAAAATCTTCCCAAGTGCTTCATATTCGTTTACATATCTACTTGAATTTAATAATTTTCAAATTCCCTTAAAATATGTATTTCGAACAGCATGATTGAAAATTTATTATTTATCTCTCAGTTGTTTCGTAAGTATTTAAAGAAAATA